TCAATATTTGTTAGGCCTGTGTTTACCGCTTCACTTGTGTTGCTAAGGCTATTAACATGTTAACTCCCTCTAGAGAAAGTTTATTTTGCTTTCGTCATAAAAAAATTTATTACTCTACAAGAAGTAATTTGGTTTTGAGTTCTAATAATCTTTATTATTTGGCTCCGGTTATTTTAAATTATTTGAAATTTGTTGATTGGTCACTCTCTAACATTAATTTATTCAGATTAAAAATTTGTAATTACGTATTCAATAATATCTCAATTTTTGGTTTAACAACTGTGTAAATTATCTTTCTTTTATGGTTACTTATATTTCACAGCTATAACTTTATCAGTTAATACAAAGAAAAAAAAAAATGCATCTCGGAAACGTATTTCTTTATTAATGTAAGTAACTAACCGCCTGTCTCGATGATTTGTGCGGAACCTACTGAACGAAATTATTTCCAAAATATAATAACGGCATCTTTTACAACAGGAAAGTTCAGGTTTTAATAATATCGTTTTATTAACCCACAGTATCGAGTCATCACCAGATACGAATTATGTTTTTTTTAACGTAATTCTTACTTGATACCAGATATTAAAATCGGATCATTCCTGTAAAAGATGCTTATTATACTTTTGAGTTCATTACTTGTTTGTTTCTTTTGTTTACTTGAACAACATTTTATATATAGACACGCGCGCGCGCACACGCACACACACACACACACACACACACACACACACACACACACACACACAAAATGGACTGAACGGGTTTGATCAGATACTTCTGTGGTTCAAGCATAACCATCCTCAATTTTGGACTGCGGTACTTACTGCTACTCTTATAACGCATCCACGGCTAGAAATTAGAAGTGTGTTTGGTAGTAACCGCCGCCGATCACCAGTCTGATACGCCAAATCTGAACGTTTATTTTTCCCCCATTTTCTTTGTCTGTGGTTATTTATGTATTCATCTGTTGATTTAGTGCTCATTGAGCTCGCAGAGTGAGATACAAGTTGCGTGAATGTTTTATTTTTCGAGAAACCTTTTTCTGCACAGAGCATAATTTATGTAATATTATATATTTTTAATAAAACGCAAGGAAATTGGATTTTTTTTTATTACAGATTTATTCTTACAGTTCCTCGCAAGTACCCCATAGGGCATCTATAAATTGATATAGAAGTTATGGGTTTCTAACATTATAGCATATTTATAAGCATATTGCTTCCAAAAATATCGATTTTTAGAGTACATACACGAGTATTTCATTTCATCATATTATTCCATTTTAATGCCCCCGGTTACCATGGTAACGCATATTGGTTCTTTAAAAAAAAAAAAAAAACCTCAATCTTGGGCTTTTGTATGCCACGAGAGTAGAATGAATCGTTCTAATATTATTTAATAACATCGATTGTCAGAAAAACGAGTTCTTAGTTCTTTCATTCGTGCGTATTTACTTGCAATACAACTGAAGAACATAATAGCAACTTGTCTGATGGAGTTAAAAAGTTTATCTAAAGGAAGGTAGCTGAATATTGATTTTGTAATAACTTACGTTCCTTCGTTCTTCCATCATTTGATTTGTTTTCAGTTAAACCTGATAAACGTCCATCGAAAATTCCGAGTGGAATGTCAAGTTGTAGAGAATTTTTGTTTTTAACTTGATGACATATGTGGCTTGTTATTAAATTGCGTTTTAGACCTTCATGTTTTAAAAGGCTATGTACAAAAGAAAAAGAAAACTATCGTTTATTTGTCCTTGCGCAATAGGCGTTGATTATGAGCCTTATAAAACGTGATTGGCCTCAGGATAAATTAAATTTTATAACGTGGGAACAACCAAGTTTTTTTTCCTGAGCGAGGAAACACGTTTTCCTTGGAGGTATTTGAGATATCATCAACTCGATGGTTAAAGGAAGTTTTCGTGACGAACTTAATATTACTCCAGCAAAATAATATGCACTAAAAACGTGTACTAAAACGTTTCCTCTAGTTTAAGTGTAATTCTGTATGTAAAATATTTGAAGAAATGTGACGTGAAGTATCAGATAATAAATTCTATTTCAAATAAAATATTTTTTATTTAATAAACTTGAAACAAAATTCCTCATTCTATATCACAACTATCAAAAATTTCATTTTTTTTTCTTTAAGAAGAACAACAACAACAAAAAAAAATAACTTTTCTGATTTAAGTTGTTTTCAGCTTATTAAAGATATCGTGAACAAAGTTGTGTGAACAATATTGTAGTTAGTTTATAGTCGTCTTCACATATTGTGAAAACAGTTGGGAATTTAGTTTATTACTATTATAAGGGCATCAAAGTAGTTTTTTAGCCTCTGGGAAGCTCGTTATTTAAGGTCTATAATCACTGCTATTATACGACTCGGATATTTGTTGTTGACGTTGTGCCGAGTGTCTGTTTTCAACCAGTATCTTAATAGAAGTTGATTTATTTATTTTGTTATTGGGGGCGCTTTTCAAGTGTCATTTAAGCGTGCACGTATGGTTAGTTTGCTAATTAATCGTATTACTGCTTCGGTATTATAAATTCGTTTCCCACATTCCAACAGTGGGTTTGGTTTCGTCAGATTTCTTTTCTTTGTTTCTTTATAGGCATTTCTTTCCCTGTGTAATAATTTTAATATTGTCCAGATTTTTTAATATGATTTAATGGGGCTAAAGATACCATCAAAATTTAAAATAAAAATACGAAGAAAAAGGTTTCAGAAACATTTAAAAATAGATGAAATTAAATTTCCGTGCGAGTGTTTTTATAGGGATATATAACGATGACAAAAAGCTTTCAGTTCAAATTCACAACTCGTACTTACAGAAAATTGCCGTTGTTAAAAGTTACTTAGTCCAAACATCTTCGCAACTGCTTGCAGATTTGTTTCCCAGCCATGATTACACCAGAATTTGTAATCCCATACTTTATGAATCTCCCACAAGACCGCGTTCCCAAATTATAATTTTACTTCAGTTGCTTCGGCCCAAAATAGAATATATGTTCTTGCCAGAATAGGTTTTGTATTTAGTTAGTTAATTTTCTAACGGTAGTGTAGAACCTGTATATCGTAGCAACAGTAAAGATGAATTTTTTATACTTGTCACAAAATGTTACATGAACACTTCTGTAGTGATAGGGGGGGGGGTGCACTTGGTCCAACCACTCCATCCCATTTTTCGATAAAATGTGTGATCTATAATTAATGGCGAACTATTGCAGCTAATAGTGATCAAGTGAAAGATAACACTTGGTGAAAAACCTGTTGTTATTTTAACAAAATTAATTATTTATTTTAGAAGCGGTAAAATGTGCAGATGACGGCATAACACTTCTAATGTGTGCGATATATTTCACTTTCTAAATACTTGTGAATTTTTACAAATATTAAACATATCCAAATGTTTATAAATTAGTGTTGTTGTTTTATTTGTTTGTTTGCTTGCAAAATATTCAAGATGAGGGTGTGTTTACAGCGAGCGAGCAACTTATTTTAAAATCGCCTCCTCCCTGCTAAATGAAAATCCTGGATCCGCCCCAGGCGATAATAAAACACACGCAAACACAGCTATACGTTGTCAAGTCGTACAATTTTGTGTCAGTTTCTGCCCCCACCCCGCGACATAATAATATCTTGAGGCTCTACAATGAGCTGTTACTTCGCAATAGTGTTAGACCGTGATTTGTAATTTCAAGTGGAGTTCAGGTTCTTTGGGGGTTAACCTTGAAGATTTGTATCACTAAGCCTAACGGGAAAATTATCTCATTCTGATGCTGTTGTTTTTCTCATAAATTTATGCGTGTTAGCTTACTTTCCCCCCCCCCCCCCACACACCGAACAGTTAAATATAATTGATAAGATAAACGTACGCATTTAACAAGGTTGCTGAGTAACAAAAAGTACAAAAAAAAAGGCATAGTGTAAGGGTAGCTAGTTATGTAAGAAACATCTAACTTTGACCTTTTTAAAGCAATGGGATAAACACCGTCTAACTAAGAAAAAAAAAAAACACGATGCAATAAACATACATCATCAACTAGTTTGTATTTTAAAAAAAATAATAATATTACAAAAGAATATTTGCATTCCTTAATAAATTAAACTCGGAGTGTCATCCTCGTACAAACTAAAGTATTTCGTCTGCTGTCGTTAGTCAAGTAAAGTGTATTGGCGCGAAACCTTGTAATTGTTTGAGAGTAGTGTATTGTTGTTTTTGATACATAAGTAAGTTAATTAAATAAATTGATATTCTTGTGCTAAAACTAAACACCGAACAAGTTAAGATTGTGATTAGTGTAGTTTGAAGTACGTCTGAACATTGTATTGGAAAAAAAATAAACTGTTATACGCTCATCGACTTTTTCTTCGCCACTACTTGGTGACGAAAGAATACATTAAGACTTAGTCTACCTTTTGTTTAGACTCACTCCCTAAGGCTAATCCTCTTTTTTTCTTCTTTCGGGGAATACCGTCGCTAGCAATCTTGGCTGTTAATCATGTTGATGATGCCCCCTTCCGACCGTTGGTTACAACAACCCTTACAAAAAGCAATGCTATGTTAAGAGTGTGTTCTGTTGCTCGTCGCCGAGGAATGATCAGAATTAAATATTTTGGCATGCCATGGATGATGTGTGCATACAAACTGTACAGGCTGTGGTAAATGTTACTATCCAATTGCTAACTGTATATTTGGAATATTTGGTATGTTACGGTTGGCTCTTAAGAAAATATTTATATAAACAAATGACACCAATATATATAATTATTATTAATTGTTTCAGAGAAAAAACCTTAGAAATTAAAATATATTGTAAGTGAAACAATTGTTTTGTGTGTGTGTATGTGTAATTACACGCTATCATACATATGAACAAACAAAACTACCTAAACATCTAGACTGTCCTGTTTACAAGTAATTTTAATTGATTTTGGAGTTTTTTAAAGCATAATTAACTGCAATTCTTAAACTTTTTTTGTTTGTGTTTTAGCACGAAGTCTTGGCAGCATCAGAAAAGGTAATTCTACGATTGGAAGACTTGGTTCAGTGGATTACTGAAGAAGTCGATTGGTCTCACGGATTAGTGGTAAATTCCGGTGATCCCAGTAGGTCTACATCGCCGATGACGTCACTGCACGTAGCGGGGGTTCCTAGTGATCATTTACAAAGTGAAAATGGTGTTAATTTAAATGAAGTATTTACTGAAAATATCTTGTGTTTGGATGTAGCTCATGTTCAAAAAGAAAAGGAAATGAACCGTAAGTTCTCATAATTTGTACAAGCATATTTATACAGAAGTTTGGTGTTTCGCAATTTACAGTTATGTAACTCTCATACACATTTCTCGAAATACAGGAATTTTGGAAGCATATTTATGTATAATTTCAGAAGAGTAGCTATTTTCTCACGTACAATGTATACTAGTATAATCGCGAAACATTTAAATCAATATTCACGTGTTTTTGTCACGATTAAAATATGTAGTCACTAATGATAAATGTTGACTTGAATAGGTAAGAAAATGTTTACCTGAATAATTATTTTATGACATTCAGCACAGAAGATTGTTCTTTTGCTTTATTGATACTCACAAAAAGATAATACCGGGACATATTATTTTAAAATCTTTGAAAGTAGTTTCAATCCATGTCAAAACTTCTGAATCAATAAGCCATCATATTTTGAAACAGCGTAAGTATAAAGTAGGCTTATCTTCAACTAAGCCTTTTTTCCCCAGTTTATTATTATATATAGTGTTTGTGCTGTTTTTGTACCCAAAATAATTTCGCTTTCCTAAAAGAAATATATTTTATCATAATTCACTGTACTTCATCAAGGAAGTTTGAAGTAACTTGATAGTAACATTTTTAATTTGTGTGTGTGTGTGTGTGTATATATATATATATATATATATAATAAATAC